AACAGCCCTGGGATCTGAAAAATAAAGCACAGCCATTTACTTGGGGATTTTTAAGGTAACTCTGTTATTTCTGTTTGCTATTTTATCCCTACCATGGGCTTACTCAGCCGGACTCACCCAAACTCAATGCTGATGCAGAATCCCTGTGGCCTATGGTAGGGGGATGAAAGAACAAACAAGCAAGCAAATGTGGGCTGAATGGCCAGTACAGGCCGGGTGCTACTTTCCTGACCTCCTCAGGCAGTGGGAATAACAGGCATTGTCTTCATTAGTGTTGGCAGCAATCCTGTGAGGAGGAAAAGGGGTGCTAGCCCTCTTTTAGAGATGATATAACTGAGGTGCAGGGAGGCCAAAGAACTTTCCCAAGGTCATGTGCCTAGTAAAGAGTAGAGATGGTCTGTCTGCCTCTAAGCCCAAGCACTTAACCACTCTGCCAGTGTTTCTCACCAAACTCCTTAGAGCACTAGGAATCCTTCGTGTTGAGAGGGAGCTTTTAAAATAGGAAAATTTCTAGGCCTATTCTTTGTCCTCCAAAAACAGGGGGCATGTGAATCTGCTTTCTTGATCAGGTGTCCAAGGAATTCTTCTGTTTGCTGAGAAGCAACAGTCTTTTTTTTTTTTTTTTTTTTTGGACAGGCAGAATTAGACAGTGAGAGAGAGAGAGAGAGAGAGACAGACAGAGAAAAGTCTTCCTTCCGTTGGTTCACTCCCCAAATGGCTGCTATGGCCGGTGCACTGCGCCGATCCGAAGCCAGAAGCCAGGTGCTTTTTCCTTTGTCCCATGCGGGTGCAGGGCCCAAGCACTTGGGCCATCCTCCACTGCACTCCCTGGCCACAGCAGAGAGCTGGCCTGGAAGAGGAGCAACCGGGACAGAACCGGCGCCCCAACAGGGACTAGAACTCAGGGTGCCGGTGCCGCAGGCATAGGATTAGCCTAGTGAGCCATGGCACCAGCCAAGAAGCAACAGTCTTGCTACAAGTGTCCCTGTTTCCAGCAAGTTCTCTATTGGGAGCAAGTCTTGAGGAGACAGGAAGGCTCCTGCCAGTCTATGGACTGGGATCCCAGGTCCTGGGAGAAACAACTGAGGAAGTTCACACAGGGCAGTTTGTCAATTGTTGGAATCCCTCACTCCACTTCCATAGAAGAAGCCAAATTCCAGCTAGAAGAGGGACAGTGTGATTCGGGGATTGAGGCTAAACATGCTATTAGATGGCACTGACATCCAAGATGTCAGAGCAGAGAGGAATTGGGGTGTACAGCCCAACACCTCTCACTTACTTGAAAGATCCTGGGGCCAGCATTGTGGCATAATGAGATAACCTACTACTTATGAAGCTGGCATTCCATATCAGAGAGCTGGTTCAAGTCCTGGCTTTTCCACTTCCAGTCCAGCTTCCTGCTAAATGTATGTGAGAAAGCAGCAGAAGATGTCCCAAATACTTGGGCCCCCTCCACCCATGTGGAAGACCTGGATGGAGTTCCAGGTTCCTGGTTTTAGCCCGGCTCAGTCCTGGATGTTGGGGGCATTTGGGGAGTGAACCAGCAGATGGAATATTTCTCTCTCCGTCTCTCCTCTTTCTTAATCTGTCTTTAAAATAAATAAAATACATCTGAAACAAAATTAAGACCCAGAGAGGTTCAGAGACAAACTGCAGGCCATACAGCTGGATGATGCAGGGTGGGATCCATGTCTCTGGGTTCTCTTGCTTGTCACACCACCCTCCCCCAAGATATCTAGTCTACTGCTGAAATATAGGAAAGAATCTGGTCTTATTTTGAACTACTATGGCATCCCAGATAGAAAAAATCAGCTCAATATCCTTATTTTATCATTGACAACCCCACAGCTAGCCACTCTTACATAGTACATAAATGCTAATTTGCTCTATGAGGAAACAGCAATATTTTTTTTTACCAGTGGCAAGGCCATTCTGAGGGTTCTAGGAACAGTGCAGGTCCTTGTCCTTGGTGGACAAGTTACTGTTTAGGAGCTATCTGCTTGCCTGCTCTGAGAATTATACAGAAAAGCTACAGGATCTGTGTTTTCATTTGGAAGGCAAGGGATGACACCACCAACTCTCCTTCAGTTCTGAAAGGGACACACATGACTGCTGTCCCTTCCAGGGGCTGCAACATTCCCTGAATGGCCCACCCTTCCTCTGCCCCTTAGTCATCAGGAATGTCCTGATTGTGTCAATCTGATCACTCAGCTCTGGCAGCAGCTGCAACAAGATGAGCATGGGCTGGAGAGTCAGGGGCCTGAAGTGAGGTCTCCAACCATTGCTCACTGTGACACCTTATGTAGACTAGAGGGCTTCTTTCCCACTGGGAAAGGAAAGACCCTAAACAGCTTATTGGGCCTCTCTGCCTTGGTTATCTATCTAGGAAAGGGGGCTGTATAAATAAGACCAATACTCTTTACAACCAAACTAAGAACAAAATGCTTTGAAGGGGCCAAACAAGACATCTCAGTGTTTTCCGTAGTTTAGTCACATATCACCTGTTTCACGTTTCTTGTAAGGGTTAGTGCCACTAACGTAGGTAACATTCACTGAACAATGGTCAAAGCTAATGCCGACATGATCTTTCCCATTTAAAACAAGTGGAAAATGAAGAATTATAAAAGCTAAGTGATCTAGCAGATGTCTTCTCCAGTAGCAGGAATCAGAATGGGAATCACAAAAATGAACTCACAATTAGACTATTTCTGGATAAACATCACTTGCAGCAGGTTTGGTCCTTCAAGAATGTCCTTGTACAATCGTCATGACAGAGGTTTGCTAAAATGCAGACATACTCTTAGTGGTCCTATTTCTAGACAAATAGAGTGCCCTTGTTTGGTATCTGCTGAAATGGAAGGCATGTGGTGGTTCTACTGTGGGTAACTAATGATGTATACCCAGTAGGAGATGGAAAAACAGTGCTAGGAGCCCTCAAGTTGCTTATAGTCAAAGAGGATAGGATGGATGCCAACAGGCAGTGCCATTAGAAGTGCCCACTGTGCTCTGAGGGGTGTATGAGGACAAGAGATGCCTTCCACTGGGTGGAAGAGAGACTCAAGAGAGAGAAGTCACTTAAACTTGGCCTTTGGGTTAGGCAGAATAATGTTCCCCTGAAGATGTCCATGCTCTTCTCTGCAGTACTTGTGAGAATGTTACCTTACATGGCCAAGGAGGCATTGCACATGTGATTAAGATTCCAGACCTACAGATGGGGAAACCTAATTCCGTGAGTATTAAAAGCCAGGAAGCTTTTAATGATAGGAGAAGGTATGAAGGTGTGGAATTGCTGGGTTAGAAGATGGAGGAAATTTAACATGAGCCAAGCAGTAGGGATAGCTTCTGGAAGAAGGCTGCAAAATGCAAGAAACAGATTTTCTCCTGGGACTTCTAGATTAAAACAGCCCTGCCAACACCCTGGTTTTAGTTCAGTAAGATTCACCAGATTTCTGACCTGAAGAACTGTAAGATGCTAAACTTGTGTTGTTTGAAGCTATTGTCTGTAATTACTTGTTACTACAGGATTTGTTACAACAGCCTTGGTAAAGGAAATGAGTTGGGACAAACTCTGAAGCGGAAGTGGGGATTGCAGACAAGAGCAGAGAAGACGGGTTTCAGGGAGCAGAGGATATGAATGCAAGGCCATCTGGAAGAACGTTCTGCAGTGATGGAAATGTTTTATGTCTATGCTATCTGATAGAAGAGCCATTAACCATGTGCATTTATTGGGCACTTGACATGTGGTGAGGGCCACTGAAGGACTGACTTAAACTGTAATTAATTGAAAATTAAATAGCTACACATGGCTAATGGCAAGTGTATTTGACAGCTCAGGCAGGGAGAACATTAAGAGATTAAGATCCAACTTTCTAGGTTCCCTGCCCAACACTTAGAACTTCTGCACAGCAAAAAGCATTTAATCCTCTCAATGACCCGATAAGGTCTGAATTATAGGGTGAGTCCCATTTATCAGAAGAGAGAACTAAGACACAGAGAGTCTGAATAATTCATCCAGTATCCCAGAGTGATATGTGGTGAAGACAGGATTCTGTTTCCAGGATTCCGGATCCAGTATTTTCAGATCCATGGCACCTCACTAGCTCCAGACCACAGTGTACCGTGCTACATAGTCACTCTACCATGCCATTACAAGGACTAGACATGTGATGAAGGCAGAGGAGAAACAGACATGAGGTATAGCAAAAGCAGGCAGGGAAGGATTCCCCAGGGGAATGCCATTTACTCTGAATGCTGTAGGCTAAAGAGGCATTTTTCCAGGCAAAAGATGGGAATTGGTGGGTGGAGTCCCACCCATTAGTGTAAAAGCTATGTGATGAGAAAGAACATGGTATAGTCAAGGAAGTGAAAGACAATCAGAATGACTGATGGGTAGAGAAAAAGGAGTTGAGTGTCAAGGGGTCAGTGTGGGGAAGTTGATGGAAATCAAAGAACATAGAGTTTGGAAGAATTCTGAATGTTACTCCAAGGATTTGAATATAATTCTAAGAATTTTAATTGCATACATATTATATATTATTAAAAGTATATAGGCATATAAGCATATTTTCACCCTTATTTCTGCATGGAAAATGAAGTGGATGAGCCCATTGTGGATTAGGTGAAAATTATCATTTTAATGATTTAACAATCATCATTTTCACATTCTTTAGTATTCCTCAGAAATAGTTTCATGTAATCCAAGTGCTTTCCTATCCTTTGAGTTCTCATGAGCACAGACTTGGGTAGATGGATGAATGACTACATGAAAAAGGTAGATTTTTATCTTCACTTTGCTGCTGGTGAGTCAGTTCTCAGAGAAAGAAACTGACTTGCCCCAAAGTCAGTTGGCCAGTGGCAGGGCTGAGTCTGGAAGCTGCATTGCCTGCATCTCTCACAGACTCCGTCCAGGAAAGGCACACTCTTTCTCGGGGCTCCAGGTTCTGACCACAGCTCTGCTCAGCCCTCTCCTCCCTGTGGATGGAAGCAAAGGTGGCCCTTACCTTTCGGATTCCATCATGTTTCATTTCAATCACATGGAGGGTGTAGTTGGTCCGGCGACCTTTCTCGTTGAACTGCACATTTCCTGTCAAACCTTCAAACCGCACCTGGAAAACAAAGCCAAGTGGTTTTGAACTCAGCAATGAACTCCATACGCTTCATATTTGTTTTTTTCTTCTGCTGAAGTAAAAATCCAGAACCCAGAATGTTACATGAAATGAGGCGTTGGAGGCGGCTGAATGCTAATTTTTGCTTATTTCTCTGGATTAGCCCACAGACCTCTTTCTCAGTAAACTGAGGCTTATTGTGAAAGTCATTTTTGTCTATTGGTTTAGGCAAACACTAACACTGGTTCTGAATGCATACTAATGTGAAACCTCTGCACGGTCCCTAATGAAAGACCCACCACCACGCCTCCATCATGACCACCACCCCCCTCAGACACAACTGGAGATGAGCAAATTGAAGGCAGCCTACAAAGGACATGTGTCAGTGTGTTACTACCTAGGATTCCAGAAGAGACCCAGCACCAGCATCTGGCCTTATGGTACCTTGGGTTATACTTGAAAATACTTTTGTTAACTCCTTTGTGTGTCTGGTGAATGAAGTCCCAGAAATCAAAAGATCCAGATTTCATCCCAGCTTCTCCCTTAACAGCCAAGTGACTCTAAGTGAGTCACCTCCCTAAGCCCCATTTTCAAAATTCCTGACCTATCTTAAGTGACATAGCCAAAGTGAAAGTGCTTTTAAAATTTTAAACCACCTCAGGAGAAGACCTTATGTTCAGACCAGAAAGTGCAGGATTTTAAAGAGGTCTCCATTAGTTAAAATAAGATTTGTTTTTGAAACCCAAATAGGCTATAAGGTTTTTTTGCTTCATGAATGAGTTCAAACTTTCATGGCCTCCTATCTTCAAGTTTGTGTTTAAGGTCATTTGGCTAACATGGGAATCCAAGACTTGTATGTGACAATAAATCTCACCCAAGTCTACCTCAAATTGAGGATGAATCTATCCCAGATGTAAGTGATGACATTTCTAGGGAGTGAGTGTTTAGCCTAGTTTAAGTGTTTAGCCTCTCTCCTACATTGGAATGCCTGGGTTCAATTCCTGGTTCTAGCTCCTGATTTCCACCAATGCAAACCCTGGGATGGTCAAGTAGTTGAATCTTACACTCATGTGGGAGACCTGGATTGCATTCCTGGCTCCTGGCTTCAGCCTTGGTCTAGTCTTCAGCTCCTGACTGTGGTGGGCATGTAAGCTGTGAACCAGTAGATGGAAACTCCCTCTTTCTTTCTTTCAAATAAGTAAAAGCTAAAAAATGACACAAGAAACCACATTCTTGTTTTTTTAAAATAGATATATTTATTTATTTGAAATAATTACAGAATTAATTACAGAAAGGGTGAGTCAGAGAGACCGTCTACTGGTTCACTCCCTAGATGGCTGTAATAGCCAGGACTGGGCCAGGATGAAGCCAGCAGCCAGGAGCTTCATCCAGGTCTCCCATGTAGGTGGCAGGGGCCAAAATACTTGGGCCATGCTCTGCTTCTTTTCCCAAGCCATTAACAGAGTTGGATTGGAAGTGGAGCAGCCAGGACATGAAGTAGTGCTTCTGTGGAGTGCCAGTGTCGCAGGTAGTGGCATAGCCTGCTACTGCACAACACTAGCGCCAAGAAACCACATTCATTAATGTCATCAGATCCCTTGCTTGAGGCCAGTGATGTGAGTCTTTACCTATTACCAATACAGTCCCACCATATGGCCCAGCATCGTCTATTTTTCCCCTCTTTCCTTCAAATAGCTTAAAAGGAAGTCTTGCAGAGGTCTACCTTTTTCTGACAGTGACCAGTTCCTCTGTGTTTAGAAGGTATAAGAATTGCTGATTATATATGCATTGGAGAGTGAAAGAGAGGGAGTGTGTGTGTGTGTGTGTGTGTATACCCCTGTACTGAGGCTGAACTTCTCATCACTTTCTGGTTTGAAGTCTCAGTGGGGAGGCCATGACAGGCCCAGAGCACTGAGCAAATTATGCAACAAATCCTTCACTTTCTCAGACAAAATCCAGAGAAATTTCTAGCTCCAGGAAAGAGTAGGCTGTCTTTGCTTTTCAGAGAGAAAGCAAAATACATATCTTGCTAAAAAGAATGAAAGAGGAGAGCAATTCCTGTGCACAACCAGCTTCACCTTCTCACTTTGGTAATCTCTTGCCCACATTTAACTTTCCCATTGGTAGAGGTTCAAGGTAGTGTTGCTAGATTGGTGGGTACCAGTTGTTAAAAAATTTTAAAAAAATCCAGGCTCAGAAAAGTCAAGTAATTAGGCTTGATCCCCTAGATAATGCTTGTCCAAGCCACAGTTAGACCCCTCCTCTTCTCCTAACTCCCTAAGAAGTCAAGTGTGATACCCAAGGATCCTTGCTTGTACCCTCACTGTTGTCTCCTGCTGACTGTCATCAACATCTGCACCTACAACTCTAAAACTGATTTACTTCCTGTTCAAATTCACCGTTTCTTTAAGGTTTGTGCAAATATCCATCTCAGGTTGCTTGGGACAGTACAGCAGAGCCCTTGTTCTAGAGTAATAGATCAAAGCTTTTCCTTTTCCTCTCAGGTATCCCAGGTTGGATGACAAGTTCCATGATCGCTACTGAAAGGCTCAGTCCTACTCCTACAGAGGCCTTTCTGACGCCCACATTCTGCTCTGACTGTCCACAGCACCAAGAGCCCACCCAGGCAATTTAGCCTTCAGTCCTGTCCTGCTAGCTATTATTTCTAATAATCTGGTCTTTGCTTCTAAACTGGATATTGAGTCTGAAAGGCAGGGAATGTGTTATCTTCCTACTGCCCCAGACCACAGGTTTTGGCATGCTGGGCCTACCTTCACTTCCACAGGCTTCATTATTGGCTGATGCGTGGCAAAAGTAAAGACTAAGAGGGATGGTCACAACGACAGGTCTTCTAAACCTGGGGTCCTGCAATGAGCTTCAAAGGAACCTATGGTCCCTCCAACTCCTGGTCATACAGAAATATTTAAATATATGTGTGTGCATCTTACTGGGGAAAACAGTTCAAACATTTTTAAATTTAATCATAGCCTAAAAGAGCCTATGACCTCAGAAATGTTAATGACCTAACTTAGGGAGCTGAGTCTTCTCTGCTAGCAGAAGTCGACATATGGGCACCCCAGTGCCGCCTCCTTCCTGGAGTGCTGAGAGCTTCCAAGATATCGGCTCATTAATATTCTGAACAGCTCCCTGGATGGCAGGCAGGGGGCAGGAAGGCAGGCTGATTATCTTCACTCTGCTGCTAGGGAAATTACAGAGGCCTGAGGTGGGTGGGGTGCCATGGCCATGTGCAACTGGGGTCTGGGTCATAGCTCTTGTATCTCCCTTGTAGGACTGGGCCTTGGAGACTTCAGAGCCATTCAGTTTGTGCATACAGGGTTAGGTGTCAACCAAGTAAGGACTGGGGACCCTGTTTCACAGCTAGCTAGTTGTATAATTTTGAGAAGCTTCCTAGTCTCTCTGAAGCTCAGATTCTTCATTTCTAAAGCATATTCAATAAAACTAATGACATCAGGATATTAAGGACTTGATGAGATAATATGGGTACATGTTCAGAGCCTTGTGCATGGTAAGCCCTCAGTACATCATAGCTATTAATACAGATATTTCTAGAGTTTGACTCCCCAGGGGAGCAGCTCACCCAGGAGACTATACTGGGCTCCAGGCATAGCTCACAAACATGCAGCTTCCGACACAGCTGAACTCCAGGTCACCTCCCACTGCGTGACCCAAAGGTCAGGTTCCAGGGCAGCAGAGACCTGAGTGCCAAAGACCTGGTTTCCCAGGACTAGGTGTCATTGGGATTGATCCAGCCCCTGATGGGCACCATTGCTTCTGGGTGGCATGCTATTTCAAGAGGGGGAACGAGGTCTCCTTTAGCAGTAAACTCTTCTGATTCTATAAAATAAAAAATATTTGAAAAAGAATCAGTTGGAACAGCTGATCTGGCTTGTTTGTTCATTTGTTTGGTCTCGATGCTGCATGGCTGGAGAGTGGCTGTGATGATGCATGAAAGGCCCTAAAGCACAGGGACCACAGGTTAGGCCTGGCCTGGGGCAGAAGAAGGAGTTCTTGGGTTCTGGTCCAGCTTCTGCTGTGAAGCTGCTGTGTGGCCCTGGAGGAATCACTGCCTGCTTCGAATTTGCTGTTTCATTTATAAAATGATGGGAAATGGAGTCAGTGTTCTCAGAGATCTCTTCCAGCAGTGAACTGTTTGGATTCTGTTACTTAGCAAAGATTTGAGGGGGAATCTCTTGGGATGGCCGATCTGTTTGCTCACTGTTTGGTTGTGCTTTTGTGGCCTTTGTTTTTCTCCACAGAGAAAAGGGAGTTTCCTGAGGGTAGGCCTTGTCCCCTCTTGGGGTCCCCAGGCCAGGGCACGCAGCAGGCTGTCAGGGTGCAGCTGATGGAAAGTGCGCACATGCATGTCTTGACACCAAGAAGAAATAAAAGAGGTTAAGGGCAGAAGCAGGAGGAGGAGTGTACGTTATACCCAGAAGGACACGTGTTAGATCATAGAAGAGAAACTAGACTCTTAAAATTCTTAGAGCCAGCTGAAACTGGAGAGTGTTTGTCCACACTTCCTTCATTTGCATAGATGAAGAAAGCCAGGCTAGTATGGAGGAGAGATGAATGAATGCTTCAAGGTCACCCAAGGAGTCCAGGCCCAGCTGAACTTGGAGTACAGCTCCCCCACCTCCTGGTTCAGATCCCTTCCTGATGCTGTGTTGTCTCCCAGGCTTCTTCCCTGTCATGTGGCATCAGAACATCCTTGCAAGGACGTCGCTGAGATGGGAAACGGAGGGGACTTGAAAGGGCTGTGGACTGAGGGCAAGTCCCTGGGACTTCCTGAAACCAGCCTCACCTCACATTGCAAATAGATTTATCTGGACTGTGGAGTCTAGAAGAGCATTTTAAATAAGCTGGGGAGGAGGGAATGGGTCACCCCTCGGGCATTCATTCTCGAAGTTGCCTGGTGTCTGCTCTTGCTGCCTAGTGATATGGGGCCAATGTGAAAGGAGACAGGGAGGGCAGACATGGCTGCTAGTGGTCCTCCTTGAGCTCGTTCCTCCCATGGGGAGCAGACTCCTGCCTTGTTTCATTTGCAAGAGCACAACTCCCTGTTTTCCTCCATTGAATCGCATCTCACTGGGCCTGGGGAACAGCTGGTGAAGTTGCTTGCTTGTCTCTCCTGGTCGCAGAAGTTGTTTGAGCTGTGCTCGTGTGGTTGGAGAACACATGGGAATAGTTGTGCAATTTGCTCTGCACTTGTCTCTCATTCAGAAGCACTTCTCTCCTTCCCTGAGAGCCCAAATTCACCTTCTGCTAAATGTAATGTTACAAGAAAGCTGATCTTACCCAAGCAACTCCCTTAGTTGGGGAGAGGTTGCAAGGGACATTGGCAGCACACTGTCTTGCTGTTGTTGGCTCCCCACTGTGCCTGATGCTTTGCCAGTCTTCTATAGTGAGCACTGCCCTCTTCCCCCAGTACTTTTGAAACACAGCCTCTCTATCAGTGGGCATCAGAGACATCACATGGTGCTATCTGCTGGCATTTTCAAAGTCACAGCCTGGGGTTGAGGTATTTCTAGAGACTTCCAGAAACTTCCAGGAGCTCCAAGAGTGATAAAGCAGAGGGAAATTCCCCATAATTTTCTAAACCCGGGATGTTAAATACATACCCACTTGTACCACTGTCTCACCCTGCTTCTGTAGCCGACATATCACTAATTGAATATTTATAATGTTTCCTGTTCTATCTGGCTTCAGCCTCAGAATCCTTTGCATGGCCAATTGATTGGGGTGGGCATGACCATTTTCTGTCCTTGTTCTTTAAGCAAACAAAATTGATGATTACAATGCTGAGAAACAAATAAGTAGGATCAGAAGTACTGAGAAACATTTCCAGGGCCCTTGCTCATAGGAAACCCTCATGAAATGTGCACAGAAAGCAAATGAGTGAAGAAATCTAGAAAATCAGGGCAAGAAGGACTTTCTGCTGTCTCCAGACACTCCCTTCAAGGCCCCTTTCCAAGTACAGATAATCATCACAGTTCCTCTTCATTATCATCCATAGGCAGAAAATACAGCTTTTATGCTACAAGCAACAACTATCCCATATTGTTTTGTTTTCTCAATTTTCACACATGCTTCCATGTATGCCAAGAGACACAAACATGATATCATGGCTGTTCCAGCCTTTAGGCATGCATTCTTTTGCTTTTCCTTAACAGTTCTCTGCCTGGGTTTGATGCTGGAGTCCCCTCCTAGGCTCCCATGACATGGGGAAATCATTGCCAGTCTTACCTGTTGCAGGGCTCTCTGGATGTCAATGCCCTGACCCCAGGGCACAGCTGGGTTAGCCAGACAGTCCCCAGCATTCCCCCGGCGGGATATGTCAATCCTCTGCCTCCGCAGGCTCTGGAAAGCCTCAGCCATCACCTTCACCCCATCATAGGTGAGCGCAGAGGTGTACTGGTGGGAGGAATGGAGACAGGCATCAGAGGTTGCTGACAGGGACTGTATTTGGATGTGCCTCCAGGTGAAGAGAAAGTGTTCAGAGGGCCAAGGGCAAGGTAAAAGGCAGGGGAGATGAATGAGGGGGGAGTGTCTGCCCCTTCAGATGAGGCTGCTCTACCACACTGGCCAATGCCGCCCTCCTGAATTGGGAGTTCATTTTGGCCATTGTGACTTTTGAAACCGAATTGGAAATTACAGATTTTTGTATGTAATCTTTGATACTTAAAATAATCAGTTGTGGAACATGCATAGTTTAAATACACTACATTTGCAGGCCAAACACATGGAGAACCAGTTGGTTTCTCTGTATTGCCATCACCAGCTGGGGGCCAAGATGAACTGTTTTCTCTACCATCCATTGTGATAGTTAAAAAGAAAAGAAACTCAAAGAAGAATAAGCTCTTAAATATTTTCACACACGGATCACTCAACTTATATAGGCTTACATGCAGTACATTTTTCCTCATGTTTAAAAATAATAATTCTTAATTTTTGCCCCTCCTGAACAAATTGGGGGATAATATGTAAATTAGCACAGAACAGGATAATAGTCCAGGAAAATATTTCCTGGCCTTGAATTCCCTGTCTGTCTTCTACCCTAAATTATTTCTCTTATCTCACATGTTGTCTGGCTCTCTGTAAGTTCACAATAGAGAGTGGTAGAATATCTAAGTATATTTCCACTTATTTTTTAAAAATCATATTATATTTGTAAATCAGGTAAGGTATTTACATATTAATGAATTAGCTCCTGTGTGATTTGCTCATTGCTTTAAAGCACATTTGTGATTTTGCTTGCTTACACTCCTATTGAAATCAATCTGCATTCCTGAATAATTAAATGTTTGAAAAACAGTGAGATAAGAAGCATCTCAGTTATATGCCCTGCAATTTACAAAAAAGAAACTGAGTGGCAAGACAAAGTCTTCCAAGGATTCACTGTCCCAGATAACAAAGCTCACCTCAGAATCCTTCTCAACACAGTGTTCCTCATGGCCACTGCCAAGCTATATGATTTGACATCAGAAAGAAAAATTACTTGCTATCTTTACTCTAAACCACTCTGAAATAGCAACCAGAATAGATTTTGGCTGTTGGATTTAGAGCTGCATTTCTGGGAAATGAAAAGCAGATCATCTGCATGCTAATTGAGAAGTGACTCTGAGTAGAGCACTACTGGATATTCCTTACTTAGGTTCCCCTGACTTTAACTGGGTACGTGGTTGCCCAGAATAAGGGCTACCTTATTGCACAACTGGAAGGGGCTCCATCCATGAAGAAATGAGTATCCTCCTGAGCTGGCAACATGGTGAACAGAGACTGTTTCCAGCTTCCCTTGCAGCCAGCTGGGGCTAGTTTCCTACAGTGTGGCCAGTGGCATACTAATGGAAGGTGTATATGTGACTTCCGAAAAGAGTTCTTAAAGGAAACAATTGTGCTTTTCCTTTCCCTTTTTTTTTTCTCTTCCTGTTGGGTGGATTACTAAGGTAATTGCTGGAAGTCAAGCAGCCATGTTAGATGATAAGGTAGCAACTGAGCATAGCATAACAAGAAGATAAAAGAAGTCTAGGTGTTTGATGATGGTGGAGCCATTATATAAATCATGCTAACTTCTGAATTTTTGTTTACATGAGAGAAAAATAAAATGTCTGTCTTGTTATAAGCATTGTCCTTCTGGGTTGTCTGACCCTTGGACCTACCCTACACCCAATAATCTTCATTGATATTCTTTCCTTTGCTGTTCATTTTAGAAAAAGCTTTTCCTTTCTAAAGGATAACACTGCTTAGAAATCTTGGGCAGCAAAGGGACCAGGATGGCTCTTTACTGCCTGCTGCTCATCCTCGCACCTTGGGTCTCTTCCAGTCCACCCGGGTGTGGTCTCGAGCATCGCTGTTCTTCCACTGCTGCATAATCTTGGCTGGGATGGTATCTGTGTAGTTCACCAACTGGAAACCTGTCACGTTTGCCCCACTCTCCTTGAATTTGTTTAAGTCGATGTCCATGAAGCCCTGTGGAGGGAGGTGGGGGAGAAGTCAGAGCATACTGCTGGAAAAATCTGTTAAACCATGTTACAGAATCACAGGACTTTCCATCTTACTTCACAGGGTGGAGTGGACTTAACAAAGGACTGTTGTGTTTCCCTTCCTTCTGAACTTGGTGATCGCTTAGTTTGCACAGAAAGTTAGCATAGTGGTTAAGAGTACTTGCTCAGGAGCCAGCATGTCTGGATTGAAGAGAGTTGGCATACATTCTTGTCTGAGTAATAGAGGTCAGAAGGTTGGGTGTAATGTATCAAGTGACTAGCAATTGAGTAATCAGCAAATGGTGGCCAGCATTGTTATGATGCCACACACATGGGGAATAAGATGGAAGCCTATAAGAAATGCACCATCCACATTTTAGACTTTTTTTTGATAGAAGAGGAATTTGAAGTATATCAGATAGAGGCAAGCTCCTGAGAGTTCCCCCAGACCCCAGCAAGTCTGGGGAAGAGGCTGGATTCTGATCTGTTTTTATCACTTGCCCTCTTCCCTTTCCGTTATAATAGATGGCATCTTCTCTACCACATGAGGCCCAATACCAACGACCACAAAGGATTTTTTTTTAATTCAAAATGAAGTTTCCTTCCCATTTGGTAAATTCATTCAAACCCAGGAGGCCTTTGACTTAATGGGAAACCATGTATAATATATTCAACAATGTACATATTTTCATGTGTATGGCTTCATTTCACTCTGTTTCTTTATCAGGTAGAAATTATTTGTCAATTTTACAGATAAAGAAGTTGAGTCAGAGTTGGAGAATCAACTTGTCCAAAGGCATTCTGTGAGTTAGTGGTAGAGGGGACCAGAGTTAAGACCTTCTGTTGAGCAATTTTCTCACTTGCTCACTCATTCATCATTCAGCAACTATTTCTGACCACCTGTAGTGTGCTCTTCTGATAGTGAATAAAGGAAGTTACTCCCTGATGGGGATTATGCCCTAGTGAGGAAGATAAACATAAATGAGTGAACATGTAACATAGCATCAAATAGAATAGTAGAGTGTACTCTGTGGTAGCAGTGAGTCCTGTGAAGAAAGCTAAGTAGGGTAAGAGAATGGGGAGGGGGAAATGCAGTGCTTTGGAAGCAGTGATCAGGATGAGCCCTCCTGAGAAGGCAGTGCTGGCACGGGGCTGGAGGTGAAGTGAAGCCATGGGAGGAAGCTGTGCAGGTATCTAGGGAACAGCATTCTGAGCAAAGGCGCAGAGGTAGTAGGACGTTGATAAGTTCTGGAAACATAAGGAGACTGACGTGACTGAAAGGGAGGAAGTGTGGGAAATGTTGGAGCAGCAGCCCAAGGCTGGATCACACAGAGCCTTGTTAAGTTGGTTTTCTTTACAGGAATAACTAGGTACCCCCTGCAGGAACTGAAACAGAGATCCCAAAGACACTGTCTTTGCAGCTCCATGGCTTGGAGGAAATTGCCAAATCTCAATGAGAAAAATGCAAGAATGAGCAGAGGAAGCATTATGGGATGGGGAAAATCTTAACTGGCAGCCAAGAGACCTAAGTGAGTGCTGGTTCCAGCTTTGCCTTAGGATCCTAGGGCACTGTCCATGTCTCATAATTTTTCATGCACTTTTGCTCTGAAGGAATGGACTTCATGATTCAAAGACACCTACTTAATACATTCCCTCCACACCCGTGCCTATGAAGTTCTGAGTCCTAAAGTTTTACTTTTACAAACAAAGCTTAGTCCACTCAGCCTCAGTCCATGATATTCTGTCTGCTGGGAATGCAATTTACCTAGTGAGATCCTTTCCATCTTTTGGCTCACAGCTAAAATGCTGTCCCTTCACAAAGGTCTCTCCTGACCTCCTTGCCAAAGAACAAATTCTTGCTTTGTAAGCACCTTGTTCATTTCTCTTCCACTTGATATACTAAGGGCAAACACTTACTACCCTACTTACATGTAGACTAAGTCAAGTATATTGGGCAGTACATACTCCCAGAAGCATATATTAACTATTGGCAGATGGAAACTTAGAAATAAATGCCCCACAATCCTCTTCTTGGGTTGCCTAATCCTTTGGAGTGTTCTGCACTGATGATGAGAGATCCTCAACCCCAAGCAGCCTGCAGTGCAAGTGCCTTGATTGTGCACCTTAATGGCTCATTTCCTTCCCTACCTCAGTTCCTTCCTTTCTGGTGTTTCTAGTATTGGCAACCAAATGGCCAAATCATACTTCAATTCTTAGAATCTGCTTCTGAGAGAATCTAGTTGAGTCCCCCAAAAGTACCCAATCCAGGCAGTTGTATCTAGGTGCCCTATTAGAGTCTCTCCAGAGTTTCCATTAGAGGTGATCTTGTACACTCATTTGTGCTCTCCCCTCCCACTGAAATGTCAGGTCCTGATTTGTTCACCAAAGTGTCCTAAAAGCTAGCACCGAGAACAAGGCCTAGCACAGTATAGATGCTCAACACATATGTTTTGAGTGAATGAATAAAAGCCAAAGACTCTCCTCAAGCAAAAGTGCCAGTTAGCTAGAGGAAATATGACCAGCAGGCAGCAAATGCCGGTGGATGATTCTAATTGTTTGAAAAGGGAAATTCAGGTTGGAAATATCTTTTGAGATTAAATTGTCTCATAACCACAGTTTACAGAGTTTCCCAGAGGTAATTGATTTATACAAGCTGTTCGTAAAGGTGTTAGGTTCTGCTACCCAATATACATTCTAAGATGTTATACTATCTAAAAGCTCAGCCACCACCCCACCAGTGGTTAAAAGCTTGTACACAGTTGGGAGATTTCCCATCATTTTAAAAAAGAACATCTTGTTCATAAAATAACTATTGAGAGAATGAAAATGGAAATTATCTCCTGCAGTCAGATTCTGTGATTTGAAAATCTGTAACAAGCTCCTGGGCATTTTGTGCTGCCTGCCTCCATGTCAATTGTAACAGAGGCCAAAGGGAATGGAAGAGTTTGTCAGACACAAATGCTGCTCAACTCAATAACCAGGATGCCTAACTACAAGGTTAGTAGAGCCATACAACCAAACTGATGGACCCTCTATCTGAATTCCCCTGGCAACCCTGTAAAGGAACGAAGAGTGATGAAAAAACAAGCTCTTGTTTGTGATGTTGCCTAACAGAATCAAAATTTGGAAACAACTTGGGGTCAGTTTATATTCATCTAGTATCTGACATTTTCCCTTCTATGTAGATTTCATACTGTGAATAAAAATCTTGAATCTCTGCAATATCCTTGATCACTAAGAAATGAGTCTCAGTTACTAGACTTGATTTCTACATAATGTGAGAAAATGAGCTTTGTCAATGTAGAAAGGTGCTCTTGACTAAGAAGAGGATAGAACAATGTTAACTCTTTGCTTACCAGTTAACTGGATAATTCTATTTACTCAGTTCCCTTGAGCACTCTCATTAAACACATTTTAATTAAATCATTTTCTAATTTTCTTTGCCATTTTATTAATAAAAGACCTTGGGGGTAATACTTGGTAATTAGTGCATTTTTTGTATCCTCTTTATTTGTGCTATTAATTACATAATATGGTATAAGGATGCTACAATGTTAATTATATTCTATTAAAGACTTTATGAAGTTCGATGATCACTATTCTTTTTAAGTCATTTTTCTTAATTTTTTTTAGAATTACTTTATTTTATTTTATTTATTTGAAAGAGTTACAGAGAGAGAGAGAGAGGTCTTCCATTCCACTGGTTCACTACCCAAATGACCGCAATGGCCAGAGCTGAGTTTATCTGAAGCAAAGAGCCAGGAGCTTCTTCCAGGTCTCCCACATGAGTGCAGGGGCCCCAAGAGTTGGGCCATTTTCTATTGCTTTCCCAGGTCATAGCAGAGAGCTGGATCGGAAGAGGAACAGCCAGGACTTGAACCTGTGCCCATATAAGATGCTGGCACAAAAGGTTGGGGCTTTAACTCACTGTGCTACAGCACTGGCCCCATTTTTCCTACCTATAATATGTCCTCAAATGCTGTCTATTGTTCTATACGCTGACACTATGGAATAAAAGTGAAACTCATCTATGGGGTACTGTTTTTCAAGGTTTTCAGTGTTTTTCATGTTATTCAGCATGGTAACTCAGGTCTCCTAAACTCAGACACCTTCTACTGTCTCCACAGCACTGGGAACAGAGGCTGCTCTTAGCAGACTGACTGTGTTTCTCATTCTAAATGCAACTTTGTGATGAGTGAACTCCCAGGATCACTAGGTCCTTGTGTTCCTGATGGTTTCTTTTGCCTCTCTGTGGCATTTGGCTCTCCCATGTGTGACCAATGAATGCATGATGTGAGAAGGATGACCTACCATTTTCCTTTATGTGCAAATGAACTGGCTGAGGCAGTACAAGCTCGCACAGGATGGTGGTCCTTACATGGAACACACTGGAGAGCTTTTGTCATTCAGTAGGCTTGGAGAGCAAACTGGATACTTGTATTTTACCAAAGCTCCCATGTTGGTGAATCAAAAAATCAAAATTCAGTCTATTAAAATAATAAAGGTAATCATCAGAATCTCAAATAACAGCACAACTAATAGGCATTGGTGCAAGGATATGAGAATAATGAGATATCTCATCACCTTTCTTATGAGGAGTTACAAATGGGATTAACTTGAAAAAGCAAGGAAAAGAGACATGTAGAAGTATGGAGGAAGCCATCAGAATGATCAAACAAAAAGAAGTTTTACAATATTGTCTTCTAAGAAGTATGAGGCTGGGAACAGCAGGCATTTGCTTTTAATTTTGCACCCTTCTATAATACTTTTTAATACTATTAAGAGATAGAAATAGATCTTCATGTAGTTCTGATATACATCTTTGGTTGAGAATTATCATTAGTTGCTGGAAAGTAGAGGGGGAAGAAGCAGTGGCAGGACAGGGAAGAGAGAGCTCAGTGCATTTGTTATGGCTTGTGAAGTGAATTCTGCTCAATCTGTTATCTCCTGGCCTAACACTGAGGAACCCAGGTGCTGTTATGTTCT